GAATCTTACTGCATTTTATAGTTTCTGAGGTGCCTTCAACTTTTACAAGGCAGGATGCAAATGTTTTAAAAAATGAAATATTAAAAAATGGCCTTGTTAGAGGTTGTCCAGTTTCTGACAGGTCGTTGTCCAATTTTCTTTTGAATGGCTTCAGTATTGGAACGGAAGGGACCAAGAAGGCCATCAAGTGTAACCTCCTACTCAATGCAAGAATCTAAATCAAAGTACATCTGACAGATGGTTGTCCAGTTTTCTTTTGAATGGCTTCAGTATTGGAACATTCACCACCTCCCAGGATAATTGGTTCCATTGTCATGTTGCTGTAATGGTTAGCATATTTTTTCCTGATATTCAGCCAAAATCTGGCTTCTTGTAACTTGAGCCCATTATTACATGTCCTATACTCTGGAATTATCGAGAACAGATGCTGACTCTCCTCCGTATGACTATCTTTCAAGTATTTGAAAAATCGCATTATATCTCCCCTGAGTCTTCTTTTCTCAGGGCTAAACATGCCAAAGTCTTTCCATCTCTCCTCATAGGGCTTAGTTTCCAGTCTCTTGATCATCCCTGTTGCCCTCCTCTGAACTTGCTCATTTGTTGGTATCCTTCTTGAAGTGCCATGTTATATGAGGCCTAACCAGTTCTGAACAGAGGAAGACTATACTTCTGTTAATAGCCTAAAATAGCATTTACCTTTTTTGCAGCCACATCACACTGTTGGTGCATATTCAGCTGGCAATCTACAACAATTCTAAAACACTTCTCCTTCATAACATTATTGAGCAAAATATCCCCCATCTTATAACTGTGTATCTGGCTCCCCACCCCTCCTCCAGGTGTAGAACTTTGAACTCATCCCTGTTAAATCACATTCTGTTGCTTTCGGCCCAGTGCTTGAGCCTATCAAGAGCTTTTTGAATTTTACTTCTGTCTTCCAGGTTATAGGGACGTGGTGGCGCTGCGGGCTAACCCGCAGAAGCCTGTGCTGCAGGGTCAGAAGACCAAGCAGTCGTAAGATCAAATCCACGTGACGGAGTGAGCTCCCGTTGCTTTGTCCCAGCTCCCGACAACCTAGCGGTTCGAAAGCATGTAAATGCAAGTAGATAAATAGGGACCACCTTGGTGGGAAGGTAACAGCCTTCCGTGTCTAAGTCGCACTGGCCATGTGACCACGGAAGATTGTCTTCAGACAAAACGCTGGCTCTATGGCTTGGAAACGGGGATGAGCACCGCCCCCTAGAGTCGAACACGACTGGACAAAAACTGTCAAGGGGAACCTTTACCTTTACCTTCCAGGTATATTTAGCTACTCCATCCAATTGTGTCTCATCTGCAAATTTGGTACGCATTCCCTGCACACTCATCCAAGTAATTAATAAAAATTTTGACAACTAACTGAACCTTCTGGTACCCCACTTCTTGTCTCCTCCCAGTCTGAGTTCCTTCTTTTTCACAATAGGGGCAATGTTGGCTTTCCTCTACACATCCGGCACTTCACCCATCCTCCATGATTTAAAAACAAAACAAAACAAAACCACAGTGGTTCGGTGAGTTCAGCAGCCAGTTCCTTTAATACTCTTCAATGCAATTCATTGGGCCTTGGAGATCTGAACTTGTTCAAAGTAATAAGGTATTTCTTAAATATTTGTTTATCAATATCAAGCTGAAATCCTGTCCCCTCCACTTGTACTTCACATATGCCTGGAGGGTCATAAGAATTTATTTTGGGAAAAGACTAAGCTAAAGTAGGAATTAAGCATTTCTGCCTTTTGTCACCGATTATCACTTTTCTATCCCCACTTACTAGCTCAGCTGCTATTTCTCTGTCTTCTTAGAGGGCGTTATGGGGTCCTGAATAGATACTGGAGGTCCTGCTACTACCACCCTGATAGCAGGGGCTCAGGGTAAATTACCTCAGCTGCCCCATCTTCGGTGTACAGCTCTGTTTCTCAATATATTATCAAAGAAAACATAAATGCCAGTTCAAATATCTTGCAATAACAGTATGTCCCATCGGTAGCCTCCGGGTGGGCAGGAAGTTGAGAAGACAAAGAGAGAAAACAGGGGTGCTACGCCCCACTTTTGGCTGTGTCTGTCCACCATCTTGGCCTCCCACTAAATACAGTATTAACCCTAAAGGAATACAAACCCTGCTATAATAATGTTTCTCAATTATCCTGATCTATATGCCATATTTAATTGTTTGGTGACTGGGCCACGAATCACATAACGAAATTTTAAAACATGCAGAAATCCTGCAATCATGCTTCTATAAGCAATAGGCTTCCAGGGTGTAAATCATGTATTGCCTAAACTTAAAATTCAAACCCAAATGTGTGCTGTTATGATTTTGCTTGAGAAGTAGTCTTTGGAAAAAATGGACCTGATAAAGTTCATGTGTTTTCTTGTCACACCCTATATACATAAGCTAAATCTCAAAACAAATAGTACAAAAAAAAGACACATACACATTCAGCAACAGCACTGTCTGAACCAAGAGTATTTCACATATCTCAGGATGACTCAGAAAACAGACACAGAAGGCAGCCGGGGTGTGTGTGTGATATGTATGCTTGAACGGGGATACAGGTGGGCAGCTTCTCTGCTCTCTGTTAGGTGTTTCTGGTCATCAACCACACATAATAATAAATATTGTTCTCAATGGCATTGCAGGTAGTCTGGAAATGATCCATATTCCATCTTTCACGTTCTAAAATAAACTTGTTTTCTAATGGAAGAATCAGACGTCCTCTACTTTTACTTTCAAAATAGATAAAACAATCAATGCAATTATACATGAAAGTCTATATACAACTTAGACAAGGATAGGTATAGCACTGACACCTGTAAGGCTTTCCTCAGTGGACCCCAACTTATATTCAATGTTACTTATGCACTTTAATTTATGCAAAAGAGAAAAACGCAAAGTACAGTGGTGCCCCGCATAGCGACTGCAAAAGAGAAAAACGCAAAATACAGTGGTGCCCCACATAGCGACGTTAATCCGTTCCAGGATTAATGTCGCTATCCGGATTCATCGCCATGTAGAGGTGGAAAACCCCATAGGAATGCATTAAACTCTGTTTAATGTGTTTCTATTGGGGAAAAACTCACCGGTAAGCGAAGATTCCCCCATTCGGCCGCCATTTTCACTGCCCGTTAAGCGAGGGCAGGGCACGAAAATGCTGCGGGCGGCCATTTTGCTGATCCGGCAGCCATTTTGGAACGCCGATCAGCTGTTCTGCAAACATCACAATGCGAAGATCAAACAGTGCGCTTGTTACGATCATCGCAATGCGATTTTCGGCTACTAAGAACGTCGCATAAAACGCGTCGCTATGCGGATTTGTCGTTATGCATAAAACGCATCGCTATGCGGATTCGTTGTTAAACAGTGCGCTTGTTAAGCGAGGCACCACTGTAGTTTGTATCTCAGCATAGCTGCTGCATCAATGTAAAGCAACCATTATGTTCTTGGATGCATTTTCTTCATGTCGGTGGTAAAAAGGTATATCGTATCATCCTCAACATCTGATCTCATCAATTTGGGAAGCTAAACATGCTTGGGACTGGTCAATATACAGATGGAAAACCAACAGGTAATTAGCGATTTTTCAGGTATTGCTAAGAAAGATTCCTGCCTGAAACAGAGGAAAACCATTGCCAGTCACAACTGATCTAGACCAGTCATTCTCAATCTTTTTGGCCATGGCCATAAACACATTATGAAAGGTATATTGGCTGAATCAGGATTGTATAAGTAGCATAACAACCTTTATAAGGTGGTGTGTGAAGAACTGTTTCCAGTCTGTGGCCCCCTTCAAATGTGCCAGGGCTTCCTCAGGGGCCATATGGACCCCACCGAGAATGGCTGGTCTAGATGGATCAATTGTCTGACTTGGTGTAAGGCAGTTCCTTATTTAGACACAGATACTCTTGCAATACCATGGATGTACAGTGGTGCCTCGCATAGCGATTGCTTCGTTTTACGACAAAATTGCTTTGTGACACATTTTTTGCGATGGCAAAAGCAATCGCTTTGTGATGTTCCCTATGGGGGAATTTCGCTTTGCGATGATCGGTTCCCTGCTTTGGGCACCGATCATCGCAAAACGATGATTTTTTAACAGCTGATCGATGGTTTCAAAATGGCCGCCGGGTAAACAAAATGGCCACCCGCTGTGTTCAGGGACGGACTCCTCACTTACCAGGCAGCGAAAATGGCTGCGCTATGGAGGATCTTTGCTGAACGGTGAGTTTTAAGCCCATAGGAACGCACTGAAGGGGTTTCAATGCGTTTCTATGGGCTTTTTAATATCGCATAGTGACGTTTTCGCTATGTGAGGCACCACTGTACAGCATTTACTGTATTTTTTGCACCATAAGACTCACTTTTTTCCCACAAAACAGGGGGGTGGAAAGTCTGTGCATCTTATGGAGCGAAGAAAACAGATTATATTTTCCTGTTTTCTTCTCCTAAAAAATCGGTGCGTCTTATGGAAAGGTGCGTCTTATGGAGCGAAAAATACGGTAATTTGCTCTAACTCAGTTTAACTGGGCTCTAACGGATTCCAACAGATTTTTAAATTAATCTTCAACAGGAGACACAGTGATATAGTGAGTATATTTGGGGGCTGGGATTTGAGAGAGCCAGAGCAGAGGCAGGGTGTGTCACTGATCCATAAATTCAAGTTAATGACCAACATGTGTGCACACAGAATGAAATGAGAAAGGTCTGAAACACCACAGAATTATTAATACATATGAACACAGGCTGAAGGAGGAGTTTTCATAGAAGTTGAAGTCAGTCATAACCCTCCCCCACAAGTATAAAAAGATTTAAAAAGCAGAGGGATCTAAGCAGCACACGCCAACTGACTGAAGCACAGATCACACTGGTGTAGCTGTTGTACCACATGAACAGAGCTTAATGGAGCAGCTGGCTTTATCAAGAAGGTGACATTCTACTGATGAAACCCTCCCTCCCCTCCCCTTACCTTCAGCTTTTTGCCCTTGTAGGGGTTCTTCACATGCTCCTCAGCATCCATGATCAGTTCTGTCAGAGTTCGGAACTTTCTCACCTGCACGAATAACCAGTGATTGCACAAGGAATGAGAGACAAACACTGCCAACAGTTTCAAGGGTTGCCAATTTTTATTGGTACATTAAATCATCCAAAGCGGTAAAGCTGAAGTGGGGTCAAGTATTAGGGCCAAATTCGGTTTCCTCAATGAATGTATCTTGATTCTCATCTAACAGCCATGAATCATGTTACACGCGGGCTTTCTTCAGACAAGTAGGACACTGATAGTTCTTCCATTTCCTCCCATTTGCAAAAGAGCATTCAGTCTGAAGCAAGATACTTTACCCTGAACAATGATCACACAAGTGATTAAAAAACATATGGCTCTAATAATTACCTACAATTCTGGGGACATCAATCATGGAGCATGGTTTCTCTGAGGAAAAAATACCATGTTGTTTTTTTATGCTCCTTGCACCCCCTAGCATGTAGCTGCCACTACATAGGCACTAAATGGCAACACATTCTATATTTCTGGTGCTATAGATTAAAATCACAATACTTTTAATTATACATGAGCATGAAAGGGAGCAAAGAATGTAAGAAAAAATATACAGAAAAAGAAAACAGGGAATGCAAGAAAGAAAGAAGATTTACATTGTAAATCAAAACTGAAAGAACAGCAATGGAGAGAAATCACCTCTATGCAAAACACGGATCAACTCAAGATCCAAGTGGGGAGGTTTGACTCCAGAATGGCTAATGCCTATTATGATTTAATTTCTGTAATTTCATACTGAAATATCTCTGTAAAACCTCTTCCTTATTGAGATATAATGATTTTAACAAAAACCTTGGAAATTCCTAAGATTACTCATGGGTGGAGAATTCTGGGAGTAGCAGTACTAAAAAAGTACTTTTTCCAAACTCTGCATTCATGTAAAAAAACCAGACTGGCTATGTTTGCACACACTGTTACACTACTCTTCACTATTAGGTTGTGACAAGATTTCTGCCCCAAGCCTGACCAAAGCATCACAACACACCACTCCTATTCCTCCTCGCATACGGACTGGATCAGTTATTCCGCAGGAGTAGACAGGATATAGGCGTGCACTTACTACTCTGTCTGTTTGCTTGATCTGCAGTAGATCGGCAATAATTTTTGACTCCCGATTATTTAACATCAGGAGCAACAAAAACACATACATAGGTTATTTTGAAGAAATAAAGAAAGCTAAGGGCAACCAAAACTGGATTTTTGTGCAGAATGTATGTGCTGTTCAATTTAAATATTCAAAGCAAATTGTTGTGTTCACAATTCCTTGTTCCTAAAGTGCCAATCTTTTTTTTAACCAACCAGAGGTCCTCCTCCAAGCTGCAAAGGGGAAGGGAGCAGGGAACACGCAAGCTCAGTTCCTCACTCTGACACATTCGGAGTTAACCAAACAGCATTAAATCATTATTTGTCATTACAGTACATGCAAACCAGGCCAATATCTAAGAATGCTATCTTTCTATCAGTTGCTGTTTTCACTGATGCCAGAGAGGTGGGTGGGCAAGTACCAGATGCTTGTGTTCCACATCCACTACTACCCCAAACCCATAAGGTTGCAATCCTTCCTCTGGCATTTGTTACCACAATCTACCTGCAACTTAAAAATATCTTTGGCAGCAAACAGCTAGCAGCACCTTTTAGGTGCACAACAGACCATTTGAGTCTCTGTTTCTTTTTAATGCGATTGGTCTCCAGAGGAGCTATTGGGAGGGTTCTGGAGGATTACAGTAGAGACACTGATCACACTTTGCCCATGCCTGCGCTCGAAACTTAACAGTGCAATTCAATGTCCAATTCCTGGCAACTCCAGTTTAAAGGATGAAGTAACAAGCGATAGCAAAAAACCCTAACCCAAGACCCTGGACAGATCTGGCATTAGAAACTTGACTGCAGTTCTACAGTATATGGGTCTACTCAAAAATACATCCAATATGTTCAGTAAGTCCTACTTTCAAGAAAGGTGACATAAGGTCGAAGCCAAAATAGACTTGGAAGGTAACAACAAGCCAGTGGACCATACCAAGATGACAGAATTAATGAGACTGTAGTAAAGGCAGTGATAAAGACTGGAGGAAGGTGAAACTTGGCAGTAAAGGGCATGTTTTCCCATGGTAAACTATATATGCAGAGATCTGAATCCTAAGGTAATAACTGAAGACAACAACTGGAGAAGGAAGACAGACAACACAATAACAAGTGAATGAAGCAGCAATATGCCCTGCCACCTCACTGGAAGAGACTGGGTCCATCTCTCAGATCCGACTTGCAGCACATGAGGCCAGACAGATCAGCCTGCACTAGACCAGAGTACTGCACTGTATATCAAGTGACACAGCATGACACAATATCACATCACACCAAACAGGCAATTACCTCATTGGAGATCTCAATCCACTTAATCTTGCACATGTCGCCGGAAAAGTCCTTGAAGGCAACTTTGTCCCAATCAAGATGGGATTCAGTGGTTTTGAACTTGCTACCATCATTGGAGGGCAAATTGTTCTTCATGCACTCCAAGAGGGTCAGCATGTCTTCCTGAGTCCAGCGGTCTGGGAGGAAAGGTACATCAATATGCCATATGATAGATTTTATATACACTTGCACATACAAGAGCCACATCCCAATCAGGTGTGTGTGTGTGTTCAATCAATGAAATCAGATACTTAAACACACACACACACTGCAAGAACTCATTTCTTTCTAAGAACCCTTAATTTAAAAACCATATTGTTTAATATACTAACTAAAGGGAGAAGAAAATGGTATTGGACTTCAGATTTGTAAACTGAGAATATCCTATATTAGAGAAACTTAAAATATAATTTCCATGATCCACTGTTCTTGGGAGTTTTCAACCATATCAATAGTGAAACAACTTCTGATTTTGGCTCCATAGCATAGTTAAGTCTAACAAAATCAAATCCAGCATAAATCCTTTAGAAAATTCTAGATCCTAGATACTTTGTTCACTCCCTAGAAGGTAAATGTTAAGGTGCAATTAGGGCTGCAAATCTATTTACTTTGGTGTCAATTCTAATGAATTCAAGGGGAACCTACTAATGAGCCATTTGACATAATATTGTGTTGTAAAAGTTTCAGTTCTGCTAACTTTTAGAAGTTTTCAGCAATAACACATACTCATAAGGCCAGGATGTAATGTGAATATGTAAGCATAAAATCAACCAAGAAATAGATTATGTGATAAACATAGTAAATTTTGGATTTGGTTGACCAGCTCAGAATTCTGGAATTGTTTAGATTAGAAAACGTGTTCAAATTGTAAGAGGTTTTAACAGCATCATGTTAAAACGTCTGTAGATAGGTTACTACGGTATCTGAACACATTTTCATCAAATCCAGAATTCTGAGCTGGTCAACTAAATCCTAAATTTACTACCTTTATCATGTAATATTTCCATTGAATAATACCAAAAGTAGCCAATGACAGATGAACAGGATTATTATTAAATCAGAATCACTGTCATGGATTTTTTTAAAAGAAACTCTTACTTTTTCTTCATAGCAAGGGTAATAATTGGCAGCAAAGAATACAGCGTGGCCTCCAAAATTTGGAAAATCTGCACATAACAAAATCCCTATTCTGTAACCAGTGAAAACCCTAACATCCTCAAAATTATGTGAATGAAAAAATGCCAATGCAAGCAAAAATACACAAAAAGTTTTAGAAGGAAATTGATGTGCACCGAGAAAAGAAATCATAAGGGATGTGTTATTTTCTTCAGTGGTTAACTGTATTTCATACAAGTCTGAGTCAAAATAAGTTACACTGCATTTAACAGAGACGCCGGCATAAATGGTATAGGATGGCTGTCTCATTTACACAACAGAAATAAATAACTAAATAACTAAAAAGTCCTCTAAATAAAAACCAGGTTTGTGTTTTTACAGAGTAAAGAGGTTGGGAAAATCAATCCCTCAATATGTTTCTGACTACAACATCCATAACTGCTTACCATTCCCTATGACAGCCAGGATGTCTGAGAGGGCAGAACAAATGGGAAGAATTCCTAACTCAAGGATAATTTTTGGTTCAGGAAACTGAGCCAGGGAGGCTAGCAGAAAATGAAAATTCTTTTGCTCTTAGAAAACATGGGCAATAGTGCCATACCAGAAATCCATCACATGGAATGCATGTATCAAAAGCAAAAATCAAAGCAAAGCATGCTGTTTACGATGTTTTTCCGTTTATAAGACACCCACCCTTTTCTAACCCAAAAATTAAGAAAACGTAGCTTTGAGGATTCAGCCTCTGGGCTCAGAACACTTGGACATTTTGAGTCCCTATTGAATCTGAGCACCGCCTACAGGCTCTGTGTTCCAATTGGTTTGTACAGCATCAGCTGACGTCGGTTCCATAAGGCTTGTGATTGGAGGAAGCAAAGTCTGCTGACTATAGGAAGCTACACCACGTGACTGCAGGAAGCCTGTTTAGATGCAAAATATGTGCCATTTTGTTTTCTCCTCAACTATCTCCGCTTACTTCTGTGTAAAAGACGCCTCTCAATTTTCAGTGTAATGATTTTAGGAAAAACTAAAATCTTATACACAGAAAAATGCGGTATATACCGCCCCATTAAACACTCTCTGGGCGGTTTATAAGTTAATTATGCAGACTACACATCCCCCCCCTCCTGAGCTGGGTACTAATTTTATTGACCTCAGAAGGATAGAAGTCTGAGTCAACCTTGATTTTACTACCTGGGATTGAACCTCAGGTCATGAACAGTTTTGGCTGCAGTACAGCAGTTTAACTGCTGCACTACAAGGCTCCTATCATTCATGTAAACACAGAAAACGCTTTGGAAACCATCAAAATTCAATCGTATAAACATGAGCTTATAATGCGTATGTTTAAATATCTCCTCTACGCTTCTGGCACACTGTCAATGTTGCTAGGTTCTGCCATCACCAACCAGGTTAGGTGGCACAAATTTTTTTTTTCAGCCCAGGATCCCATTCTTGAGAAATGTCTTGTGTTATCAACTTGACTCTTCTCACCTTGATTTTTGGGGGCTGTCATTTCTAAATCAGTTGGACTATCCGCTTCTCCGTTCATCCTCCACCTCTCGGACCCTAGGGTGACACCTCCTGGGTCTCCCCCTTCCAACTCCCTCTCTTCCCCCTTCACGGTGGCGTAAATCAATTTTCACTCTGAAAGAATGAACACCATAGTATTACAGTGTGGCCTTTGCTGACCATTACCACTCTTTTAGGATGAAGCAGCAACTACGGCATGCTTGCTGCAAACAAAGCCTTTTTCACACCAAAATAAAACACCTTGCAGAAAGAATGTTGAGCCCCACCCACGTTTAAGAGCAAGAGTGAACCAAGAAGACAGGCACCTCAATTAGCTCAAGAGGTGGGCAGACATCTTTTCTCTGGCATACATTCCTATCTGAACAATAAACAGAGACATCTCCTCTGGTGGACGGAGCATGAAAGTTTTTTTATGAGTCAGAAGATCTTTAGATGACCAAAGATGGTCAAGGCTGCAATGTCTTAGAATTCCCTTTGCCTACAGCAGGACTGAGCAATCTGTGGCCCTTCAGGCACTGTTTAACTAAAACTCCTATCATCCCTCATCATTGGCCTATATCTATTTACAGAAAAATAGAAGTTGTAGTCTAACAGTTGCAAGGCACAAGCTGGCTTGGTCTAGAGCAGGAGTGGGCAAAGTCTCCCTCCTGGGCTGTTCTGAGCCTCCAGCTTTCCTTCAAACTTTTCTTGGCCAAAAAAAGCTGAACTGATCTCTGTACAAAGGAGCAAAGGTAGGTGGAAGCGTTTCTAAAGAATCCCCAAGGAGTGGGGATTCATTATTATAGTAAGTCACAGGCCCCATCTACACCACTCAATTTCTGCAGAATACTCTTTTTCAAAACTAGAAATGGACTTTTTAGCCACTTTGTTCCATTTCTTAATTTTGGGAATTCTTGGCAGTCTGTGCAGCCCCCAAAGAATTTTGGTTACAGGAAATTGTCCCTGAACCCTGTAGAGTTGTCCATCCCTGGCCTAGGTGACAGTTATCACCACATCCTCACTAATTCACCAAGGACTAGGTTTCTTGAAAACCTCTCATGTGAAATGTGCTGAACACACTAGCTTGAGCTAAGGAGAGCAGATTCTCTGCTTAACAGGAGTAAATCTCCAACAGTGGTGAGGCACAAGAGTCATAGACAATTTGATGGAGGACTGCTCACATATGAAGAAAAAGAAATCAAGACAGGAAGTATAGTTGAGTCATGAGATGGTGGGCCTTGGCCGTGGGAGCCTTGCTTCCAGTATTAGAAAAGCTATGAAGCTCACCTGGGTGAGCTCATCTTGAGGCACTTACAACCTCACATCCTGGCCACTTCACAAAGCAGTTGCAAGGTTGGACTAGGGGCAACCCACTTATCTCGCCTCAGACGTTTTTGGGGAAAAAGGCAAGACACAAAACGCAAGTAAGAATAATTACACAAATGTGCGAACTATGAAAGAAAGATTAGCTATGCTTAGTAAGGCCTCCCTTCAGGAGAGAGAAAACTTTAAATCTAAGGAAGTAGGGGAATCGGTAGGGTGTTTTTTTTTTAAAGCTAGAAAGCTAATGGTTAAAGTGAGGAGAAAAAGTGCGGGATGTTTCGCAGTGACAGCGCCACCAAGAAGAAAAAGATCGAAAAAGTCAGCAGTGAAATCCCTCGATCTCCACCTGAAGGCAAAAAGGGCTGGGTAGGGTTTTCTTATGAGACCAGGAACGAGGTCTTCTTCCAGGCCCAAAGAACGAGGATCCCTGCCACGCAGGAGGTGGGGCGGAGAGGAGGATCCTTTGGAAGGGGGTGGAGGCAGCCAAGGAGGCCGGCGGGCGGGCAGGCGGGCGAGTGGGAGGGACCTGCGCCTGGCTCTTCTCTCCCTCCCGTCCCTCCTGCTCTTCAGAGGCCGCCCCACCAGCAGCCAATCTCCGCTACCGCCG